AGCTACATTTTACGCAATCGTTGAAACTGACGAATTACCACTGTTCCACATTTTTATAACCATAATATCCCTACCCCTGCACTAAATATTTAATAAGTTCACCGATCAATATAATTCGTCATAACGAACCAAAATTTTCTCGATCAATATATTTCCATTGCGTTTACGTTATATCCTGCGATTATGAAAATCAATAAAATTGCCAAAGTCCCAGTAATCTGGTTTCGACATAAATTATAGTCCGTACGTCTTAAAGACGATGGTTCTTATACCGAGTTAACAGCGCTCATAAAACCAATACTTAGCAAGCAAAACACAAGCTATAACCCAATCATAATAATAGAAATAAAGTCGAGGTTGAATTTACGAAATAAAAATCCTGCGTATATATAAAAGACGCTTGAAACGATCGAGGAGTAACGTTGTAGAAAAGAAAAACAGTATTATGAAATATTATTCAACGAAAATATTCTCGATTCAAAAGCTAATATCCACGTGCTGAGTCTTATCCAAGATTCCTTACGTTACCTCCCGCGACGCGCACGAGATTCTCTAACTGTTCGAGGTTCCGATTAAAATTCCAAGTGCACTCGTGGAAAGTGAGTGAGCACTCGAAAAAAAAAAAAAAGAAAAAAAATGAGGACACCGCGAACCGATAGTCATTGCCAGATAGAATCGAAAACAAGACTAGGTACAACAGTAGGACAAAGGCTTAACATCAGTGGTAGACATAGCAAAATTAGCATAAGCTACCGTGTACGCGGGCTTCCTCGTAATTCTGAGAAAACGACAACGCCTGACAATACCTAAATGCGATGATGCCGCTACCGCTGCCGCCGCTGTGTACGCTCTGACTAAGCGTGGGACTCTAAGAACCATACAGAAAATAAACGAGAGTTTGCGTTTCGAGTGCCAGTGTTAGTAGGTATAGTAACGATGAAAATAGTAGCGTTGCCACTGTCTCTTGCGACTTCCTGTGTCTTGAGTGGAAGCCGCTTTTACAACGCTGGTTTATATTCTTCGGCGTCTACCAAAAGTTCATCGTGAAGCTGCGTGCTTCGTGCTAATATGCAGGAAGACCGTGAGTAGTGCCCCGTGCGTTGGATGTATAAATAAAGCGTTACTTTGAAATCAAAAATGTATGGATTAAGGTGCGTCTAAAAATAACCCCGAGTGACGGATGCGCGCGCATGACATTTTCTACCGGGACGAGCGGCGAGAATTTATAATATTTTTCGAACAGCATATAAGGGATAGGAAAAATATTTTTCTTTCGCTCTCGAGCCTATTAAATTCTTACGAAATATCTCGACGTTATTCCACCTCGGACACGTCGACGTATGAAAGATAATCATATCCGTCACTGACGTATCTACCGGATATTTTTACACGAACACGTGGCCGGACTGTATGTCTGTATGTCAGAAAATTGTCTTCGTGACTCGACAAGAGGATTTCGAAAGTCTAATTAAATTTTGTTGTTTTACACCCGTCGATAGTGAATTCTAAGGTACCTTTATTAAATTTGTTTAAATTCATACGAATCTGGGTCATCGTGTCAGAGGATGTATGTATACGCGTCACATACTTTCCGCGATGGCGGTTAAATGACGGAAGCTAAGGTAGCGAAATCGTGACTGCCAGTACGCGGGCTTCTGGCAAAACACTAGCGCGTGCCTCGAGAGACGCCGGCAGACTGGACGTTTAAAGAAAATAAAGGAAAAGGAATGGGGCTTATACAAGAGGAAGGAAGAAGGGCCGCGCGGCGCTAGGAACGAAATTGAAAATAACTCGTGATTTACGAGCGGCCTGTGCGCCCGATGACTTGGCCTTGTACCTTAGTCATTCGGTCAATGGAATACCTGGGCCGTATGATCATTATTCTGTTATCTATTACGAATGACAACAGTGATTGGAGATTGGCTGGAATATACGTGAAAAATTTCCATTGGAAAAGTCTATGGGCAGCGTCCGAAGACTGGTGGCAATGTTTTGTTTTCGAAGAGTGACGCGCGCATCTACGGGCTGCTGTCAGGCGAATTTGACAGTCGTGACTCGAAGAACTTCCTCTTAATTAACTACTTGGCAGGATTGTGGGTGCGCGTGAAATTCTATGGTTTTGAATTGATCGTATACATTATGGGGTTAGGATTTTCCCCTTAAACGGGACCGTCTTCGTGCGCTGCCACGTGAGCGTCGCTTGTGCAATTCGGCAATTCGCAATAATTTACGGGAGACGTTGACGCGATCTAATTTCGTCCGTTGGCAAACGATCTATGTGGCTTTAGCCTTTGCTTTTGGCTGTCAGTCACGATTATAACGCGATATCGCGGCGGTGGTTTGCTTTGGCCAAAAACCAAAAAACGAGTAACCAGCAAACGGGGTAATTTCGCACGTGAGAAAACTCGTCAATTCGAGAGTGAAGTCAAAATTGAGATTAAAATATAAAAATTTTAGTACACTATGCGCATCGTCAATTAGTAGAAATCTATCGGATCTGACAGCTGTCGTGCGATTGGTTTGTTTCACTTGAATTTGGCATGAGTTTTCGAGTTTACAAATTTTTTTATATTCGCCATGAGAGCAAGAGAGACATGCTTACGGGCTACCGAGTGCATAAGATAAAGAAAGAGATACCTTAAAAGCATTCTATATAATCCTAGCCATAAAATTGCCCAATTCGACAAAGGCTGTGTCCGTCAATAACCAAACGTATTTTCTCCTTCTCTGACGCACGCGAGTCCCCGTAGCGCCGTCTCACTCCCACTCGCACGAGGTATAGAAAACGTGAAAACGACAAAGGTCAGAGACGCGGTGCACTTCTCAACTCGCAGTCGTGTTCCTCGGCTGAAAAACAGAAAGAATAATGGCTCCGTGCGATGCATCAGACATTTTCATTCCAGGAAACTTACCGAGCAAAGTTCCTCACATTTGGGGTCGCGATCGAACTTCAAAGTGACGTTGGAATTTAGTTGGCGGCCGTGTTTGAATTTATTCGTTCCGAGAGTCGGTTTCAAGCGCACAAAGCCCAAAGAAATCTGAAGTTGGCTTTGAAAGCGAATATAGCTCGATGTGGGCTTTGATCACATTCGCATTTGCCGCTTGCGCGTATTGGAAACTCCATCGGCAGGGACATTTACAATGCTAACTTTTAACGTACCGTGAAAGTACCCCAAAACCAAATCAGCATACCAACCGACAATTTTTACCGCGGCACGATCCGCCCGAAGCTTTTGAATTTATGAGGACCAATAGTTTTCGCGATCTTAAGACCGCTGCCAGAGAACTAATTATTCCTGGAATTTAATTACGGAACTCCGACTAATATTAAATGGCTGCTACCCAGGCAAGAGGTTATTATTAAAAAAAAAAAAAAAACACAAATCTTACTTCAGCATTATAATTTTCGCGTGGATAAACACTTTTAAATGTAACGGTAGCAATTTACAGAAGCGTCACGATATATCTATACAAAAATACGGATGACTTGTTGACTTTAAAAATAACACGTCCGAATGGGGAATAGGTGTGAAAATATTCTAGAACTAGCGCTACGACGCAATGAGCGATCAATATTCATTCGCGCTTGACTTGGCGCACTGGCTGCTGATACTTTTCATAAGTTACAGCCTGCTGCAAGTACTACGAGAATAAATCCGAAGATAAGTACCCGCTATACAGACCGTTCTAAAAGTAGGAGCAATCGTGCAGAATCTGACTCACGTTCAACCAGATCATCGTATAGGTCAGGGTAAGGATGATCGGGATAGTATTTTAACGAATCTCCAGACCCCTCCATATACCAAACTGCGTACATACCTATAGAACAAAGATGCATCTAAAAGACACAGCATCCCCATAAACATTAATAGAATTGAAATGCATACCGATAATAATAACAATGATGAAAAACAAATTCAAATTTATGAAGCCACGCTACGGGAATTAATTTATTTTAATCTCCGCCTAGTAAGCCAACGCTCTAATCCTGATTTAACACTTTGACTTTTCTCCTTGCCTCACGCACGCGGTGCACGGCTGCGTGTCGTACCTCGACTCTTATGCCCCGTCCACACCGTTACACGAAGTAGCTCGAGCATCGGATCTTGTGTATACACTTTAAAAGTCGTACCGGCTGTTACATACGAAAGCCAATAAATACAAAAAGGCTTAAACGAAGCATCGACAATATAAAATAATATTACAGGTACTTGCAAATCATACGATAATTTCGGAAATAGCTGTAGCGTAAGAGATAAGCTTTCAAATCATCATGCGCAAATACTCGAAATTCCATATGGGCTTTTTCAAAGCACACCCGCTCCCCCATTGGCGTATCGACGAAATCCCCGCGCGCAAATGCAGAGCTTAAAAAGCCTTTGATTGGCCCCGGCAGCCACATTGGATCAGTAACGACTGCCGAATGATTTCAATGAAAACAGAGGGGAAGATCATTGACAGTGGATTTTGTAGTCAGTCGATGCCTGATCCGGTGCTCTTTGTACTGTATATACAAGCCGTGCATACATCCAGCCGTAAATGAATGCATCAGTCTCTATTGGTAAGGGCAATCAATCCAGTTCGATTACAGGGAGAGAAGAGGCTCGTCAATGATCGGTAACCGGAAAGGGCGTCAGGCCCACTCGTGTCAGAAACACATAGTTACATTATACCAAAGCCACAGGAGTTTATTCGTTCCTCAACGCTAAGTAATTGAAGATCCAAACCCCGGTGATTTATCACTTGCTCCCCGATGCGTATCCTTGACGGAGCAAAGGGTTAGGCCATACCTGTCCGAAGGATTGCCGTTGATCTGTGATCGATCGTTTTGATAGGGTCGTACGGTGTACTGTGGGGGTCCGTGCCGGTCGCAGCATCCCTGGTCCAGTGGATCAACTAGCAATTCAATTTTGCTAAATCACGCGATTGGGATCGTTCCTAAGAATTATTGTCAATGTAAGCCATCTGTTGGACTCTCTGTAATCTGCATTTTATTACAGGTCAGAACGACATCAAGAAGCTGCGCAAGGAGAACGAGCAGCTGAGACGGGAAATATGGAGCCTTAGGGACGAGTACGACAAGCTAGAGGAGATTCTGAAGCATCAGAAGAGTCGCGAGGGTAGCGAGGAATACGAGGTGGGTACGAATGACGCACGTCGTTCGATCGGGATTTTAATGATAATATTAATTTGATAAAATTAACGAATTAACATTGGACGAGCATGATATACCAAGTTACGTGAAACGATGCCCTTGGGACGGGTTGGGGGATGAAAATTTTCACGAGTCTACGTGCTGGACCGCTGGGATAATTCCTCGGTCTGGTTTACTGGCAATTAAGCGGGACCAAAATGGCGACGGTAAAATTATTTTTAGCCGCCCCTTCTCGGGCGCTTTACCGAAGGGGAGAGGGGGGGCAAGACGAACCTTTTCTACTCTTCTCTATCCTCTTGTAAATGCTCCTGCATCCCCCCTCTTCTCTTTCTCTCTCTCTCTCTTTCTTATGGCAGTCTCGTGCTGTTCCTACATACCACTAAAAGGGTACAGCGTGAATCCGAGGAAATAACTTTTGAAGCGAAGTAACGAGGATGCTGAAGAAGGATGAGACATTGTGCCAGCTTATCCGTAATGGGTGTTAGGAAGATTTTCCTACCTGAACTAACCTAACCTGACATTAAATTCCACGTGTATATATATATAGGTATATACAGGTAAAACGAAGCTAAGAAATGTTAAAATGAAAATCTTAAACTTTCGCAGAAACGCTCCGACGAGGATGAGGTCTCCTATTCGGATTACAGCGACGAGGAAGACGAAGTGGACAATCAGGAGGAGAACGAGGAGCAAGAGGAGCAAGAGGAGCAGCTAGAGAACGCGGAAAATCAGAAGATCTCTACGGAGAAGATGAACAGCAGCCTCCATCGGCTGCACGTAGACTTTGACGACCTCTCCGTAGTGGACGAGGAGGAGGAATTGCGAAAGGACAAGGATCGTAAAGAAGCTGCTGGACCGGACGACAGTAGGGCACTAAAAGATCCTGGAAAGAGCGACCAGACACGTGATAAAGTGCAGGATGGCTTCTCGTACTTCTCGACCCCCTACGACTCCCGCTCGGACACTCTGAGCGGATCCGGTCAAAATTACTACTCGGAGTGTCCCTTTGTATTTCCAAATCCGAACGATGCAAATTATCCGAAGATGTTACCGATGGACAATCCCACGTTACTGATGTCACCCTGCGCGAGAGTCTACAGTGGTCCACTTACGCCGTTGCCAAGCCTGGAGGCTGCCGGGTTAGGATCGGTCAGTCCGATCTTCGGTCCAGGTGATCACGCGATCGGCCACTCGCAGCTTCCCATTCGCAATCCACCGATTGGATGGGAGAACAGCGTCGTGAAGACGGGTACGGCCGGCAATCGTTTTCAGGGTAGCATTCCAGTCGGTCAGACATCAGGAGCAGCAGCCACTTTGAACTTGAGCAACGGCCAATCGTTGTCGTCGAGTGGTGTCAGCGCTGATGGATCATTGGGGACCAGGTCGCAAAGCTTACAAAGATCCTTCATGAGACAGGAGACTGCGTTCCCGTCGCCGGCCGGTAACAATGTCTATGAGAATTATACAGGATCGTTCAGTGGTGCGAGCTCGCAGAGAAGAAACGTACCTTTGAAACAGCCGGTAGAATACTTGGGCGAAGGCTCGCAAGACACTGCCACGATGGGACTGAGTTCAGGGGAAGCATTCTTGCGGAGCGAACGGGACTTCGGCAGGGGGATGCTGGTCCATCGGGAGGAGGAAAGTAAGACTGATAAGATGACGTCAAAGGAGAACACGGAGAATTCCATGAATCTTAACCAGGAGGGGGTGGAGAAAAAAATGTCGGAAGCGTCAACGTTACCTATGTCGGAAAGGCCAAAACACTTTTTCGCGCCGTTATCCTCAAAATTGAAAATGCATCAGTCGGACGAGGGTAAAGCTTCCGAAGACTCGCCACAGAGTGCTTCGAAGTTATTTGGCACGGCCTATAGCTCCAGCAGTGACAACACGTGCTCCACGGTGGTATCGAGGAATCGGTATCTCGGTAAAAAAGGATCCGCCGACATATACGTGAACGGGGCATTTCCCGTGGGGAACAGTCCGACCGATAGGAACGAGGAGAGGTCGTTTCTGAGCACGGAAAATTTTCTGCTGGAAGATCCAAGGAATATGTCGAGACAGAGCTCGAGTAATGCCCTAGTAAAATCGTTATCGTGTCAGGATCTGTCGAGCGATCCACAGAACATTCCATTTGCCGAGAAGCTGAGGATTTTCGATGGCGACGGCAAAGGTCAGAAACTGACGAAAAGCGACAACACCCTTGACGCCTCGTCGAACGCCTCGAAGCCATTCAGGAGTCAGTTAAACGTGACCCTGAAGTTACCGCGGATGAACTTGCCGCCGAGTCCGGAGACCCCGGAAATTCCGAAGTTACCGACAATCGACTATAGGCTGTTCAGCAACCCGTTTCTACGTGACTTCGAGCAGAGCAGCTCGAACTATGCGAACTTGGGTTATCAGTGTCCGGTGACGAGGCCATTGTCGATTCAGGTGAACGAGAACGGCTACAATCGGCTCAATGGCAATTCGAACTACTCCAATCCCATAGTGACGCAGCCTCCTAATCAGCCCGGGGACTTGGAGGGTGATTACTGCCGGATACGCGGACTGGGCCGAACGGAGGAGCAGCGCCTCCTGATGGCGACTAATCAGCCACGGGACAACAGGATGACGTCATCGACAAAGGCACAAGACTATCAGGTGACGTCCTTCGAAGGACCTAATCCGCACACGTTGCTGCCCCCTCTGAAGCCTTTCGATCGATTGCCCACCCCGAATCCGATACTGCAGAACCAGCTGCTCTATCAGAACCTACCGGTCTTACCCAAGGTGCCGACAATTTTCGGTCAGGGTGTCATGACGTCGTCGATGATGAACCGAATGTGGAACTACGATCCGATCGCGACCAAGGTACCAGCTCAGACCCAGACCTCCATAGACGGTGACTCGCAGAAGGAGGACTTGGAAGTCTGCAAGAACGTCAAGTCCCCGGAACCCGAGAACACGAGTCAGCCTAGTTCGCCCACGACGTTGCGACGTCGCAAGACCCTTCGCAAGGACAGGTCCACCTCGGTCAAGGACAAGAGACCTTTGTCCCCGGCTGCTCAGAGACGCAGGGAACGTCTGAGGAAGCAGAGCAGCGTCACGTCCTCGGAGGTCCCTGACTCGCCGCAGAAGTCCTCGCAGAAGTCGAGGAACTTGAGTCTCAGTACTACGACCACCTCGGAGCAGCAGGACAAGAACGAGAGCAGATCGTCATCCTCGGGACAGGACTCACCCAAGAAGGATCAAACGCGACGCGTCTCCATCTACTTTAACGCCAAGAAACGTTCATCCCTGAGTTCGGTCAAGACCCACAGAAGCGGCAGCTTGGATAATTCCAAGGACAGGTATCTGACCAGGGCTGACACCCTGGACGGCACTACCACCAATTCCGAGCGCGAAAGAACCAACTCTGTGAGCAGCAGGGAGACCATAGCCAAGGGACGTAAAATGAGTACCAGCAGTGGCAAAGTGCCCTGGTGCGCTTGTTGGGGTAACGGCTGTATTTAGGCGAACCGTCTGCACCCTGAACGGGCCTGAAAATATATTCGATCGACTTACGTCAATACGAGGAAAAAGCAGTGATAACGAACTGATCGTCGCGGAAAATTTTCACAATAATTCTATGATATATCCACGAGGAAAAAAACTCTAAATAGTTTTTAATATATATTTATCGAAGTAAATAATAATATTACAATAGAAGGATTATTCACGAAAGACTTACCACCTGAAGTTAGCCGACTTTTATGGGAAATATCTTCGGGTTGGACGTTTGTCGTGAATAACCCCCATATACGTACTATACAGCAGTTTTAATTGTAAGTCACAGCCATTCGAGCCTCAGCTAGTCCTCGCTCGATGGTAGAATTTAGAGACTGTCTTGATATAAAGACGCGTACACATGTTACTCCTTATATCCGTAACTACGTAACACTCCCATGAAACACGAAATAAAGTAAAAATATAAAGACTCCACGTAGTTCGCTGTTTATATGGGATAACGAGATAGAATGATAGGCGCACGCGAGCTTTTATCCCTTCCCTTTTGTACTGACGAAGCCGATAAAAAGCACACTTGTATACAGTGCATTTTGTACCGCTGAGAAATATACTTTTACCATTACACCCTAATGCTTGTATCTTATACCCTAATGATTATTATACTCCATAGTAGCATTTCTGCCAACCATGCAATTCGAAACGCGCGCAAGCCTCGTATAAGCCCGATAATACGTGTGTACGTATTATCGATCCCAATGTATTCAAGGCTGCCTATCGATTAGGTCAAAAGTTCTCGGGTAAAAAAAACAACAATATTTCTGGTTTATTAATAGGAATTGAGAATCGAGGGGTTGAAAGGGGTCGCGGTACTTTTGATGAAGTTCGACGAGAGTGGTGGGGGTAGAGAAAGTGGACAGAAAGGTACCTTTTCACATGAGGGTGAAAGTTCGCGATAGGCGGGGGAAGAGAAAAAGGGCAAAAAGGTACGAAAATATAAGGTGAATGCAGAGAGAGAGAGAGAGAGAGAGAGAGAGAGAGAGAGAAAGAGAGAAGAAAACAAGGAAAAAGTATAAGTGCCAAAGTTCTCCCACGTCGAAAGGGTTATTTTCGTGACGTAGCAAAGTTGGCAGAAAATAATAAGACAGCTCCCCGCGTTAACCAGACGTGGGTGGGATCCAATTTCGCCGGTGTGAAACGGGATTCCCGTTCCTTCTGCCGAAGTGCAAACGCAGTTTATGCCACGACGAACTACTCGTGGCAGAAGCCGGGTTCACGCAATTAAAATGTAAATTATCCCTTTTCCCGACACACCCCTTCTCAGACCGTCCGGCCAACTCGTACGCCCCTGCCACGTGGAGAGAGGCAGCGCCATGTTGTAACGCAGTCGCCGATTAACTTGGAACTAATTTATGAGATGGCCACGAGAGAGACAAGGGACGAGCGAGTGGCGAGGAACGAGAATGAGAGAGACAGACTGCGAGATACCCTAAGACAAACTGACGACGACCTACCGCCATAGTCATTTTCTCCACGTGTAACCGTGTGAAATGACTTGTTTCCAGATATATTACAAAAAGCAAAGGGCAGACCTGCGACAGGTGATACGTAATTGCGAGAATACGCAAGAACGAGATTCCTAATTCTAGGGAATAATACTAGGGAATTATTTGAAATATGACTATACTGTACACAGATACTATTTGACCAGGAAAATTTGGGGAACTAAATCAAAGGGAACCACCGATAGGACTGCGACCGAGTATGAATAATTGAGTAAAAAATTCCCATGGGTTATATAGGGGATGTTAGTTCGTTTAAAGTTACGTGAAAAAAAAAAAAAAAATCTGCTTCGAACTTCACCGCGATTCACGGCGATCGAGAGCGCTCGCGTGAATTCTAATTAAAATCCGATCGCAAATGTTTATAGGCGTAAAAGGCAAACGATTATCTACTATTAAGCGCGAGCGTTAAGATAATATGCTTTAATTACACAGCTCGTAAAGTTCTACGAGTCTCGGCTACGCGCGCGCCACACATTGCCATCTGAGTTTACGAGCTGGCTACCAACTAGACGGGCTCTCTGCGTACCCATAATTCTGTCCATATACATTTATCAGGTTGATACTGATTAAAGTTATAAGTACGCCTGGCAATGGTACCTTTTATCGCGAATTTGCCAATTTCCATTATTTACGTGTTAATGGGGGATACCGTGTGAATTTCTACGGTCGGCATAGGAAAATCCGGTATACATGCATACGTACGGATGAATAGTGACGAAAAATTTTTCGCACTCTTATCTTATATGAAATTTATGGTAATATTTCTTCCTTGCTTCGGCACCTTTTTCTTCTCGTTTTTCATAAATCAGAAAGTGCGATTCTTTAAAGTCCAAGAACCGGCCGTAAAAGGAAGAAAGAAGTAACGAAGAGTGAAAATTCGAGACCTTTCTTTCTATGCCAAAGAAATTTCAATAATAGCCTCAAGCACGAGTTTCATATTTCGCGCGAAATCTTCGGGACTCTCGTGAAGGCTGTTTCGCTTTGTATTACTTTTCTTTTTTTTTTTTTTTTCTTTTTTTTTCCCGTAGTCAACAAACTCGTGGACGACTCTTCTACGAGACTTCCGACGTTTTATCGAGGAGACAATTTCCGCCGGACGGAAAAACCTTCGTCAATTAATTCCAACGGTTGTTTGTTATTTGTCTCCCTCGTTTTCCCCATAAACCTTGGCAATTGATTAACTTCGATACTTTCTATATGATCGAACTTTGCAGTTCGTTTGCTCGCAGCTCCGAACGAATTGGTCTTGTTTCCATGCTATTTTTCGAATTCCTGATTAGTTATGCCAAAACGGCGAAAATTTGCAATTCGCGAGTAGACGGTAAAGCCACTGCTTGCCTTTGGTCCAGTATGAAATTGCCCAAAATCCAGTGGCTGAATTACCAAAGTACCCGAGTTAAAATTATTTAGTATGCAGACTATCCCCTACAATGGGCATACTTCCAAAATGCATTACTAGAATATAGCACAGGTATATATATATATATATTGTAACGTATACTCTTAACTCGAAACCGATAACGAAAATCCGAGAGCTAACCTACGTCAGCTTCAGCCGTCCGCTCGTGAATCCGCATGCCAGGCGGGCGCCAGCCAATTCTTTTTTCGCCGGGAACCGAAAAGCCTTGGGAGTTGAGGTGGAAAAGTATCAACTCGGTGAAAACGAAAAATCTAACGGAATCTATCAGAAAAGACACTAGCTTAACGGATCCTGCCGATCGTATATATGCCAGCTCAGCTATACCTGTGCTAAATATTGGTAAGACATTTCCAAAGTATGCCCCCGTAATACGGGATCCTCTCGTGAACTATACTCTTATCTACTTCTATCTATCCACTTTTGAGTGATCAGTCGCAGATCGACTGCATACCGAATAATTGTTAGTTGAAATAAAATTGCAAGTACTTATGGGACAATAAACGCGAGTAAATTATTACGTCGACAGTAATATTAATTATTTTTACATTTCGAGGATGTCGACGAAATCTATTTTGCCCGACATCATTTATTTTCATTGCTATATCAATTTTTGGTTTACTCACGACAGTTTTTCAACGTCTGATTTCATTTTGAAATAGACGCGAAAGGGATCGCTCGCAGCTAATCATTCTCAATCCATCAACGTCCAGCTTAGTCTGTTACCAACCTGCAAAAAAAGAAATATATTTTCCAATTACACCACGTCTCACCGAGTAATACTTTCTTCCTTGGTCTGTATGCAAGATATTAAATTTCTTAAAAAAAAAAAAAAAAAAAATTCTCCGCGAAATTAAATTTGCAGGATAAAAAAATAAATAAAAATTTCATACGCTCGATTACCTATTGGATACCAGATGTATCGACTGATATAGATATTGCCAACCAATTTCATATCCGATAAAACGTTAAATTCTGATAGGAGCACTTTAATTCCCATATGAATACATTGATTGGCATACCTGATATCGGATGTATAAAGTACCTATACAATGTATATTTTTCAAAAAATAATACAATATCAGCCTGCCGATCCGTAACCAAAGACAACAAAAAAATTCGGCACTCGGCTGCGACGGGGCGTTTCGCAATTTTCATCCTGGCAAATATTTGTCGATTTGCTCGTCGCATCAAAGACGAATATTGCCTGTCCCGTGGCTACGCTGAAATAAGGCAGGTTCGGTAAACAAATGTTATTTGCCCTGAACAATTACGTCTCCCTTATCAGGCACAATCGAATAGGTCGACGGTCAGGTTAAAAAAGAATCCCGGCTCTCTAAATATCAGCGAGAAAATTGATCGACCGAAAGTTTCGACACGACGAAGTTATTTCCTGGCAAGGGTCAGTAATTAAAAAATAATGAAAGACCAAAATAAAGCTCGGGGCGACGCGATGTCCTGGAAAACTTTAACAAACCCACCCAGGGTGTCTCGTTTATACCTGACAAAAAAAAAAAGAAAATGAATAATACAGGCAACTTCATAAAAGCAGGGTTCGCCGTCTCCTCGAGGCGGCGTTAATTGCTTTTCAATTAACTGGTAAATCGGATGTTGACATATAAAAAAAAAAGAAAAAAGAAAAAAAAATACGAAAAAAACCAAAGATACTAAAAATACCAACGCGAAGTAACGAAATTCCCACCCTTCGAATATTCAAAATACTAAAAATACTTTAATCAACCTAAATTTCCCTATAGACTTTGTCTTGGCGACCAAGAAAAAACATTGGCACTCATAGCCAATCAATACCTATACCTACGCTACTAGCGGATACTAATTGAATCTCGCGAAATTTCCCACTGGCCCAAGGGAGGAGAGAGAGAGAGAGAGAGAGAGAGTGCTTCTGTGGTATTAAATTCAGTTTCGAATTTCCGGCCGTGTAGCGGGACATCTACGGGAGCAAGAGAGAACGAAGGAGGTAGAAAGGGAGATCTCTCTCTCTCTCTCTCTCTCTCTCTCGAGAAAGACGACTTTAGATCAGAGAAAAGTTTCGAGTTTAAAAGCCCCGTCGAGGTAATGGACTTGGACGGCTTCCGGTCGGTATCCGGTAGCATCGCCTAAAAGGAATTTGCCAAGATGCGCTTTTCATTGTGCTCTCGGTTCAACCTAAGATTTCACAATGCCTTACCAGTCTTTACACGTATTCCCATCGAGGGTAGCGCCCATCTTTATCCTCTTTCATTTCGCCCTCTAGCTCCTGTACCTACCTTTCTCTCGCTTGGTCGAACCTTATCCTTCCCTTCCCTAGGTATACCTATATAGACGCGCAAGGAGGTTTCGATAGTTAAATTATTCCGTGACTCTTCGCCACGTTGCCATTTGCAAAACGACGAGTCAACGGAACAAGAGCCACAACTCTATACGTATATATATATATATATATACAAATACACACAAAATACATTGCCATATACAGACCAGAATGGTAGGAATAATTAATAAGAATTTAATTAACAAATCTAAAGATCATTATCGTATCCGCAAATGGCAATTAGGTTTAGCAGAAAAAAATACGAGGTGCGATTCCAATTAGGGTCGGACAAAGATTTAGAATAGGGGCTCTGCCAACCTGACAGGTTTTAAAAGGTATA